GACTGTGAGAAAATATACCATAATCAAGGATGCAGTACAGATTTTTTTTTGGGGGGGCATCACCTACTATAACCATGTTTTATGAGAGATATATTATATTTACATCTCAAAAATAGAATAATCAGTGTTTCAGAAGCACACGCTACCCATGGGGCATAATGGTCCTCTAGAGCTTAAGTGAGTGGGAAGAAAAGAGGTTCTAGTGATGTGAGACACAACATAAAAAACATAATAAATATTGAATAATATGAAAAAAAATTGTATTATGAAGCATGAGATAGAGAAAAAATAAATGAGGGTTTTATTTAAGAGATCGTACACATAACTGGCACCCCATTTTTCTTTTTCAGTATTAAAAATCAAAAGGGTTGCATGGTGCATCCACAGTGCCAAGAGGCAGGCCTATCTGTGCACTCTACTGGGGATGAGGCAAGGTGCTGTTTTGGTACCTCGCGTGGACAATAATTATGAACATAATAAAGGCCATACGACTTCATAAAACGGAACAGGATCATCAGAGAGAAGAATGATCTCTTTGTCTAGTTGTATTAATTTTCAGCAATTTCCGTGTAATAAAAATATTGTGCATCAGAATGTTTTGACGCTTAACACTAGCTAACATCATACGTATTCTCATTCTTTGATTATTGCAGTAGGCCAATGCTCCTAATAGTATGCAGAGGTCTTAGCGACAACATTGGGTATCAGTATCATGTATGATCAATGAATCTCATCACGTATAACAGAAAAGTGAATGGTGGAGCAGGTAATAACTTGCCTGAGCGAAAGCAGTGCGCAGTGATGATCTAATGTAAGTGTCAATCCTGCTGCGTGCAACATCAACCTCACCTTTTCTCCTCCTACGATACTCATTTGATACATCCTCAACTAAAATTTTAGCCGCTGATACCCCCAAAGATACAATGCCTTGCATGGTATTAATATTCCCAGAGTCAAATGTATCGTGATAAGCAAGAAGCCTCTTCTCTGCCCAACCCAGAATTGAGCACAATGTAGAACTCAAAACCTTGGCATAGTCAGAATCTTTAGAGGTCTTTGCATCTTTAGCAACTTCTGTTAGCTGACTATCAGCACCATAAAGCAAATCCAGTTCAGCTTGGCCAGTAGCAACAAAACGATGAAATAAAACCCAAGTAAAGCAAAGATTATGCAGCATTTGATTCAACCCAAGAATTCCCCAAGTCTTCTTAATATGTTCCATGAGCTCATCAATTTCTTCAATGATAGATATTTCATCATGTGCATCAAAACAGGCCTCAAGGAGCATCTCGTAAAGTCGAAGATTCAGTGGCATCCCATCTGCCCAGTGGCATACCTCGTTTAGTGATCCATCCAACGTTCTGGAAGCAAGAGACATAACAGCACTACGAAGAACTTGCATAGGCTCATTATTTTTCCCAGTTTCTATGGGCCTATCTAATGCTGCATGAATTATTTGTTTTAGCCGTTGTCCTGTAGCATTTGACTTATCAACAGGAATTTTAGGATGCAAAAGGAGACCGGCTTCTAAAACTTTCAAAGTCCGCTTCTGCCAAGCATCGTACTCTTGATGATCTGTGAAATCTGAAGCCTTCAGCTGCTGCAATAGTTCTAGTGGAACTACAACTGACTCAATTCTCCTTCCAACCTGTAACAATTTAAGAAATTATAGATCAGAAATGGACAAAAATCAAGTATGCAATAAAATGAAATCACATTTTGTTTTTACTTTTTAATTGGATCGAGATGTTGTTTTCACTGACTGCAAGGGCGAAAAACATGCAAATTCACAAATTCCGAGGTAATCTAGCAACTCTAATCCGGCATTTTAGTTACATTTTCACATCATGTATGTAAATCATTTCCACCAAGCTGAATCATATTTCAGTATGACACACAAGATCAACAATTGCTTGAACTTTCAATAAATTTAACATCCTAAAACGGGGGATAAAAAGGAAAAGGACTGGGAAGACGATGGATTCGACTACATCAATACTACCTTACGTCCAGCCATAACAAAACGAAACCGCACGAACAAGAGAATCAAAACCAATTTATTTTGGCATGAAATAACAAAATTGTACAATGACCTGGCCAGCAGAAATTCTGAGCAGCGCTCTCCTAACTCTGGAATCAACAGTCTCAGAAACCCCCATTTGGATCCTCATCAACTCGCCCACAGTCAAAGGCCGCTTAGACTTGCCCTGACTGGAAGCGGAGCCAGGGCTCTTCTTGGAGGCAGAGCCAGGAGATTTGAGGCCCAATGCCTTCTTAACCTTGGAGGCGGCGGTGGAAGTGAGAGATCGCTGCAGGCCAGGGGAGCTCGGGGAGTGCTGGTGAGTGGGAGAGTCTGCATGAGAATTGCTCGAAGATACATACGTGAGGTGCTTCCCGGAAGAGGTACGGCAAGCGGCGACGAAGATCTCGAAAGCGGTGAGCCGGAGATCGGAATCGGTGAGTTGAGAAGCGAGTTGGCCGAGCGGAGAGGGAAGATCGGGAGCGGCAAACACCGGTCGGATTGGCATTATGGATGGCGGCGGCGACGGCGGCGGAGGAGTGGACTCTCTCTTGGAATGGCCCAGAGTGAGGTCTCTGAAGAGGTGAGCCATGGAGGAGAGAGAGAGAGAGAGAGAGAGCGCGTGGAGAGGGGAGAGAGAAGATGAACTAAAAAGTAAAAGAGCGGGTGTTTTTTTTTAATATTAAAAATACATTTAATTATCATTATCATTATCAAATAAAAATTAATAATACATCTTCAACTTTTATATGTATATATATAATTTAGAAACATTTAGAAAAATTAGCTCAGTTGGCTGATTGGAAATTGATTCCAATGGTTGCCCTTTCCTAAGGTTTCCGCTTTGACAATTTTAGCATTGAAAATATAAATTTACCCAAATTCAGATTTTGATACTTAAAACTTTAGCTTGTTTGAGGATTATTTATATAAGATAGTATTCCTTCTAAAACAGAAATTTATGTACGATAATTTTTTCCACGGAAAAAATATTCAAGTGTGTGTTTAAGTTTTTTCAAAATATAGGAAATTGATTTTTATTTAACAATAAATAATTTTAATATGCGTAGTGACATTAACCATTTAAATGGTTATAAAAATAAATTTTAAAACAAAAGTAGAGAGGGATTTTGAAAATTCAAGGCTTCTTGAAGTCTTTCGGGGTTTGGTTTTGCACCGGAGGGCTGATCGGCTTGTTGGTACGATTAACTCGATTCGTTAAGCTAAACTATCAATGAATTYCCGAGCAATTTCAATAATCGCGTTCATTGATATTTCTGGTATAGTAGATGCTATCACACATATAATCATACTCAATTCAATCAAATTGTTTGATCCTTATTGTTGTAAGGGGATCTTCTCTCATTTCGCACGTGAGGGGTTCTTTCTTGGTTTCGTCCAGCCATTGATAACTTGATTGTTTTTATCTAATAATATCTCGAAACAACACTCGTAAGGGGAAGCAGTAGAGAAATAATCGTCTTTTGAAATCACTTTATTTGTAATTAAAAGAAAAGAGAGGGCGGAGAGTTATCAAGATTTATACAATCTATTCCAAGATAAACGATTTTGAACAAAAAATAATTATTCTATAAGCAAAATGATACTATTTTTAGGTCTTAACTTCACTGTAAATTAAAAAGTTAAATAGCAGGTAGTTATCTTCTTTACTCGTGTATAATAATGAGTAACCTTGAAGAAAGGTCAAGGCATTGGTAATTTAATGAGAGGATTCCAATTTTCACCCTCTGTAAAATTTATATTCTAAAAAAATATATATTCATGATGAGTCGGCAAACAAAATTTAGTTGTAACTGATAAATACTACGCTAATCACACTTGTTCACTTGACACAGCTCAACTTTGCCAAATAAGTATGCGTTATACTTGACTGCATCTAGCTCAAGTGTTTTTAAGTTCGGTACATTCTAATGCACCTTTATCTCTTAAATTAAACAACCAACTTTACCAATACCAAAGAAGTCTTGTCTTTCATGACATGGCATTCAATACTTACATGACTCAAAACCCTATACCGAGATCTTCTACATTTGGCTCTTTAAATACAGTTTTAATAGTCATTCTAAGTATGTCCATATATATCATAAAAAGTTAGATTTAGTTTATCCTTCATTTGTCATCATAAAACGTTCTGAGCGGGATGCAGTTACCTTCTATATTATAAATGATTCTTTAAAATGTTTGTGCAATCTATTTTCAAAATAATTTTTAATTGTTAAAATTAAGTTGTTTGTGCTAAAAATATATTAAAATGAGTAAATATATCTCTAAATTTATTAGATTCTCTTGTTTAAATTATTTTTTAGTACAACAAATGTGAAATAAGTTAGATGTGTTTATGGTCGATATATACTCGTGGTAGTCTCAATATATTAATAATTTTGATTTACGACGAATTATAATGAAAAGAAAAAAAAGTTTTTGAAGTACAATTATAAGGAAATAAAAATTTTCTAACGACCTTAATTTCACAAAACTCCATGAGAAGATTCTTAAAATAATAAAGAAAAAGTCAAAAATGGAGATGGGGCTGTCAGGCAAATGGCCAGATAAGATGGCTGTTTGGAAGCTTTGTCCACAGCTTTCCCTTCTTTTGTTTTACATCATCTCCACCCAACAAATTAAATTAAATAATCACAAAGCTTATTCTATTAATTAAAAAAAATAAGTATAAGAATTGACTGATCTATCCATCTACCAAAATATCTCATTTCATCTTAAAGGATGTTCACAATCAATCATATGGTTGGGAAAAAGAAAAAAAAAATTAGACTGTGAGATTTGTTAAATATTTTAATTTTAATTAAATATAAATTTTTAGATTTCAAATTTAAACATTGTCATAATCTATAATTTTTTTTTAATTTTAAATAATTTGTTGACTTATTAACAATCCATGTATCTCGCCTTTAAGAAAAATATTTCTGAAAAAAAAAATACTAATACATAATTGGTATTCCTGAATTTTCAATGCATGGGATATAAATTTGTGTATTGAGCTTCTATTTTATGATTTACAAACACACCGATACTTCAAAAAAAATTATGATTAAATATATATTATAAATGAATAGCCACGAAAGTGACATTTGAATTTAAAATAATAATTAAGAAAATCGTGAAAATGATGAAAATTAATAGTAGATCTTTCCTAGATGAGGACAATTAAATAAAAACGAAGAACGGAAGATTGAAGAATTAAGGGACGAAAATTTAAGTAATCTAACCCTACCAATATTTTTTTTAATACAATAAATATAGGGCGGGAGAGTTTTAACACGCGAATAAGTAATTAAACACTTTTTTAAGTTTTGCTCACGTTAACCAAAGTTTACATTTCTTAATATTTCCATTTGATTCACAATTTTTTTTCCTCTGCTGTTATTATCATCTTATCTGTCTTCTTTCCAATTAAGAATAGGTTCAAATAAATTAATTTAAAAAAAAAAGTAGTTATAATTAGGCCAAATAACTTAAAAAAAAAAAAAAAAAAGTTCACTTGCCTGCCCCAACCATGTCCAAAGAATACAACAAAAGTAACCTTTAAAATTTCATAGTATTGATGTTTAACTATTATTTTATTACATGTCTCTCTCGTTATTTTTATAAGACATTCTAACTATAAATGATTAGATTAAAAACATTAGTATCAATTTTTTTAAACTACATCAGTACTAAATTTTCGTCCAATAATAATAGAAAATTGTTTTTAGAAATTGTTTTGTCAAAATAAATTAATGTGAAAGGTGAGATTGTTATAAACTTGAATTCATTGTAACAACTTCATTAAATTCCAGGAACAATGGTTTTAGAGTAACCTTAAATCTAATAAAAACATATTGTAATAAATTTTATTTACTTCCAATATATTTAGAATAATAAGTATGAATAGAAATAAAAAAATTCCAAAGTTTGAGGTGCAATGCAACAAAAGCAAAAGGTTTAGAAAAGGGAGGACAGGTGACAGTTGGGCTCAATTGTCGGCAAATCTCAACAAGCAAAGCAACCATCATTTTCATGCTTCAAAATGACGCCTTTCATACTTAATTAATCCCTAATTTTTATTTTAATTACCACAAATGTTTCTCACACCCTCTCTCTCTTTTTAATACTTATTTTAGTTTGATTTTAGCTATTGTTATTTCAAAAGGTATGTTTCAATCCTTTCGATAGGTATATTTTGATTCTATATTTTTTGAAAGTGACTATTTTGGTCCTTACCTGCAAAATTTTAACACAAAAATTTATATACAATCGAAACCTTTTAATACAATTTATGGCTATATTTCGAATAATTTAGTGAGTGTTGAGGTATTAGGGTAAAATGTTAATAGCTAAGTGAGATAAAAATTACTCCAATAGTATGATTTTATGCAAATTTGGTAGAATTTCTTCTTCTTTTTATAAAAGAAAAGAAAAGAAAATATCTGGCATTGGGCCGATTGGTTACTAAATGCTGATAACTGGTCCAAGCCCAGAAGAAGGAAAAGCTAGGGCCCAGGCAACGCTGAGAATGATAATTCGACATGTCGTTTCAAGTTCAAACTTCAAACTACATATCGTCTAATAACGTGAAGTAGAAGGCGTACGATTCTGTTCGGCGCAGTGCGAAACTGCAGAGGCCGCCATGTCAAATGGGATGCAACAAAGCTTTCTTCTGTGTTAAAGCGGGAGAGTAGCGATAAAAAAGGAAGCTGAAATATGGGTTCGGTCCGAGCATTTGGAGTAATCCTTCAAAAATTCTCATCAAATTGGATCACTCACAAATGTCCCCAACTCTTCCATCTCCACAGTCTCTCTCTCTCCCTCTCTCGGCACATTTTGAGTCAAGAGTCTGTGGCCGCGAAAACTGATTTCTGAAATTTTTTGGCAATTCAGGGAATGGGTTGTGTTCAGCATCATCAATGGCTGCCGAAGCATCGGGTTTACCTTCGTGGGCTTTTGAAAGTAAGCTAAAATGTTGTGGGAATCAAGTGCGGAGGATATGGATGTCTCCGGTCTGTATGGGCAGGCGTTCCTGCAAAATTGCTGGTAGAAAGGTACATGGTGTCCATATCTTATGGCGATTTTTCTGTTTTTGAGAAAACAAATTCCAGTTGCGCGGTGAATAGGACATGATTATTTAGTTCTTGACATTAATAACGTTACAAATTTGGTTTCTGGGTAGTCTTGATATGGTGGTTTTGCTAGTTTCATCACCTGCCTAGTTGGGTTGCTGAGTATAAACGTTTCTGACTTGCATTTCTCTTAATTTATGAGYTGGGTAACACTTTATTTACTGTTCGATTTGATTCAGTCAACTTGCTCGTATTAGGACATGTCGACAGAATTAGCCATATCAACATGTTTGTTGGTGAAATTTTAAAGAATGTTTGATGGTTATATGTTTGGTGAACTTTTAGTGTGATTATCGAGTGATTTCGTTTATGGGCTCTGGAACATTGTATTAAATGTTAAGTAGCATGTCATGTATGTTTTTACGGTGCTATTGACCTTATCGATTCAGTCTCTGAGTGTGCCCAACTCCATGTAGGGCGCTCAAGATGCAAAGAAGGCAAAACTTTATTCCAGGATTGGCAAGGAGGTTGTTTCTGCGTAAGTAGTCGATTTTCCTCCTTTCTGAATTGATTTTGATTGTGCTAATAACATAATGTGTAGAATAATTCTCTTAGAAGTTCTTGGAAAATTTTGGGTGACAGGTTTTTCAAAATGCCATCCATAATATTAGCTGATATGGCAAGACGAACATCTAGTAGCCATAGAGCTAGAACTTGCCTATCTTCTATTTCTTCACTCATGACATGCGCGTTGATGCATCATGCATGGAGTCTTCTGCTCGCAGACTTACTGAATGCTTATATACATATATTTTTTTTTGTCACAATATAGTGTTAAAAAGGGTGGAACGAGCCCCATATCTAATACCCTTTTGGCTGCCATACTTGAGAAAGCCAAGGAGCTTGATGTTCCAAAAGAAATCCTTGATCGCAACATTAAGAGGGCTTCCGAGAAAGGACAAGAGGCTTACATTGAGAAAATTTATGAGGTTTTCAGTTAGCCACTGTTATTATCTTCAGACTTTGAGTTGAAAAGGAGAGATTATTAGCTGTAACACGCATGTCTACAGGTATATGGTTATGGTGGTGCTAGTATGGTTGTTGAGGTCTCAACAGATAAGATAAACCGTTCAGTGGCAGCTGTTAGAGAGGTAGTGAAGGACTATGGCGGAAAGATGGCAGATCCTGGATCTGTTATGTTCAAGTTTAGACGTGCTCGGGTTGTGAATGTTAAGGCCTCTGATGTTGACAAAGACCAGCTTCTCATCATATCTTTAGATGCTGGCGCAGAGGATGTTATTGAACCTCCAGAATACGAAGATGATACAGAAGAAGATAAGTTTGAAAGGTAGCCGATCTGCACTTATCAGCAGTATTCTTTGATTCTTCTTTATGCTATGGTTTTTTATATGCTTTTAGTCATTAAATTAGAAGGAACCAGAGTTTTAGCGACATCACTCTCTGCTGTTGCTTCTAATGGAACATGATAAACCTGGAAATTTTGTATTACCAAAGAGCAATAGATATTCATCTCAGTTAGCAACTCTTTATTTTAGATATTCCAGACAACCATTTTTACTTTTCTCGGTATGTCCAATCTTATGGTTATTTTGAACRAATCTTATCTCTGTTTGTTTTGCTTGTAGATATTACAAAATTGTGACTTCCACAGAGAACTACTCCGGAATACTATCCAAGCTACGGGAAGAAAGTATAAATTTCGAACCTGACAGTGGTTCTGAGCTGCTTCCTATAAGCACTATTGAGGTATGTGCTTAATTTGTATGTGGTTTTTTCATGTTGGATCAGTTTAAATTGCTTCATGATTGTTTGTTTGGAAGGTTGTTTATACTTTAAAATTGCAAATTTTAACTTGATATGATGAAACTTGTTGAATTTTCTGATCTAGATAAAAAGAGAGAAAATTCTAAAATTATTCCTTCAGCCAGTTTTTTGTTACCGTTAATAGAGTTTTATTTATTTATTATTTATTATTTTTTTTATAGCACAAAATTTAGAATCTGTGTTGCATGTGCACAGACGTTTCAAAGAAATAGGGGTGAGCGTCAAAACCTTAGCAATCATAGTGGCATCGGTGGTAATAGGATTAGGATTGACTCTTTATGACGTTGCAACTTCTCATATCATCATGGATTTATGTTGAACTAGGTAAGGTCAGATTGCTTAATCAAAAGAAAAGGGAAGGATAGGGTGGACAATGTTATGACAAACAAGATTCGACTCACCATTCGCGAAAGCATTAATAGGAAATATTGCAGTGGAGGCTTCTTCTTCACAAAGAGTGTTCCTGAGTTACCGAGTCAATCTTGACTTTTAATTAAGGCCCATTATCTTATGTTCATATAGGTAAGTTCAGGAACGAACCTAGAGAACTATGCCTATAGGTGAGAAGATAAATCCTGAGTGGCCTAATTTCATTCAAGATGAGAGGAAAAGGTAGCCTACAAAAAGAACGACATACATCCATGCTCTCAACTATGAAAGTAACACCTTGAAAATGGACCTGATCCATTTGACAGGTCTCTACATATATAAATTGTGACCACTGACTTAGATTTGATGAGGACACTTCACATCTATTTTTGGGAAGACGTTGATCTAAACTAATGTTATTAGTTTAAGAAAGGACTCCTGCTACTCAAATTGAAAGCTAATAATGATGTTTAATTTGATGATCTTTTGAATTATCATGAATAAAATTGTAATTTTTTGACATTTAAGGACTAAAAGTAAAACCAATCCTGAATCCAGACCTCAGAAACTTGTAACTTTCGCTTTTTAGATGCTCTGCTATTTTGTGACAATATTGAGTTTCAGGTGGATGATGAAGCTATGGATTTGAATAAAGAACTAATGGACAAGTTGCTTGAACTCGAGGATGTCGATGCTGTTTATACTGACCAAAAGTGAATATTTGTTCCTCTATAGTATCCTGCCAACGTGGAGAGAGGTAAAATCGCTCTCCCATATTTGTGCTAGCGACCTCAATTTGCTCTAGTCATCTCGAAATCTGATTGATCTTGCTAAGACGAGAGGCATTTGAATTTTCAAGTTTGTAAGGCTATGGACACTGTTTACTATATTTTGAGTCTGGGGTTTTCTTGTATTAGCAAGATTTCCCAAATCATTGTAGAATAATACTCCTAGAAGAGTGTGACAATCATTCAATTTTGTCCTTTTATAACTTTTTTTGGGGTGTGGATGAAAATTCTTCTATTAGAAAGTATAATTGAAAGATTACTTCTTGATTCTATTGGCAAATGGCCTTACTCCAATAGTTTGGTAATCATGGTTGTGTATTCATCATTTGAAGTCAGAAAACTTATAAAATATATAATATGTCAATGATGATGACTTAAACCCGCTATTTTAAATGCACTTTGAGATTATTGCTCGTCTTCTTTAATATTTGGCCTGGTGAAGTCTTAAGTGTATTTATATTTTTAAAACATATGCGTTCAACATCTGTACTCATAAGGTATACATATTTAAGATTCTTGACATTGAATTAATTTCAAACCAGCATTATTCCTTTCCAAAATCCAACCATTATATGAGATTCACAATTGTTTAATGAGGCACAAGTTGGCAATCTCTTAACCACACGACTTGCTAGTAGCATAGTATTCATTTGATTATTTTGTTTCCTTTTCATGTTCTTAATCATCACCAAGTCATGTTCTAAATTAGTAGATAAACTCAAAATTGAAGTGATGAAAATTGTATCCAAACTCAAATGACATATTTTCTTACAGAAGTAATTATGTGCAGAGGGGAATTCATTATGTTGTCATCTTCTAGAACATACATTACTCTCTGTGTTGAATCCAAAGAAAAAGGATTCACGGCCATGGTGTACAAAAGCAAAGTTGTATTTATTATTTTCACAGGGCCAGGGTAAAAGATGAACAGATGAATCTGCTACAAGCTACATACAATCTGCTCTACTACTACACAGAGTATAACTATGACACATGGCTGCAGATTTATTTGCCACATGTACGGTTCTGTATTACTCTCTTTAACTTGGCACTGTTTACATTGTAAATGCCTATTTACCAACCTTATAGTATGCTTCTAATTTTTCTTTTGATGAAGTGATTCTATGTCTTGGGAACCCAGCATCCATGTAGGCCATAAGGAAGACCATAGGGAAATTTTGCTCTAGCTATCTCTTCAAATGTGGATCCATCTAGTAGTAAAGCATACCCTTCTCCATTTTTGCCACTGACCATGGAGATCACCACTCCTGCACCAACACAAACACATTTTATACGCGTATTTGTACAAACCCTTTTGGTTCATACGATGGAAGGGTTCATTGTCTCTCTATAAAATATGACTCACCATCATCTTCTTCTGTTGCACCAGGTCGAGCCACGAAGAAGGGTTCGGAAGGGATTGCGCCATCCTCGTGCCAATTCTTGGCCTTCTTCTCCACCAAATCAATCTGCAAAGAACGGATTTAATAACATGGGCAAAGAGATTAGGGAAAATGGTTGTGAACTGTGAAGTTACCTTGGTGAGAGTGTTGGGGAAATTGCAGGGTCTTTTAGCTCCACAAGCATATGCATATCTATATTTCTTGCCCAAAAAGGCAGGGTTAAAGCTACACATGTCCATTCCTCTGCCATGTTCTTCAGGTTCCAAAGCTGCTTCCAGAGTCCCATTCCCACTCCCATCCATTGGAATTCTAAACCTTCCCACCCTGCAAAAAATTCCATTAAATTTTCTTCCAATCATTCATCCCAGCTTTCTGATTTCTGTGTCAATTTTCAAAGTGATTGACATGATTTGAGGAGTCCTAATCAGAAGCAAAGTCAAAGGGGGTTTATGAAATCAAATCATGCAACAAAAGAAATTGCAGAATTATTCAGAGCCAGATTCTGGTGAATAATTCAACAATTCCGGCTGTTAAATAATGATTAATAAGGAAAACAAAAGTACATTCTGCTGGACCCCTCACCTACCTAACTCCAAACAATTTGGAGTATAGAAACCACAACATATTTATGGTATTATAGTGTTTTAAATGATGAACAGAAGATTAAACATACGATTATGTAGAGGGAGATTGAACAAACCTAGCATCAGGAAGAGCATCTTTGAGAGCGAACCGACGAAGATTGTTAAGTCTGAGCCTGTCGAGGATTACGGGATTGGCATTATGCTCACAGCAATCTGCRATCACAGCCGTAATCCTTCCTTCTTCGTCCCGCTCTTCGTATGCGTTTATAAAGTGAAACGTTATGTACAATGGTACTTCCACGCTCGTCACCTACATTTCATTTATCCATCAAATAGTATAAGCAATTCACAAATTTAATGAGAGAATCACTTGAAACAAAAACAAAAAAAAACTAACGATGAATTTTATGAAATGAAGAGGGCTTACAATTTTTCCACTAGCTTTGCACATGACATGCATGAAGGCTTTGGACTCCGGCCGCCACTCGAACTTGTACAGTGGCGTCGGCTCCGCCCTCAGCAGATTCTGAGCACAGTATCTCAACGGCATCTCCGGCACCACTACGTAATTCTCCGTCACCGGAAATGAGTGGACCCATCCCGGGGCCGGTCCTCCCCGACAATTCACCCGCCCAATCAC